TGAGGGAAGGGCCTCGGCCCAAGGTCACAGGGCCCTAAGTCCAGGTGAGGAAAGGGCCTCGGCCCAAGGTCACAGGGCCCTAAGTCAAGGTGAGGCCAGTGTTCTGCCCCTCAGGCAGCCTCTTTGCAGCAGAGGAGTGAGGTAGACCTGCCCCGTTCCTTCACCTTCTCGGAGCTCTTCACCGCCCCTTCCACACCCCCATGTACCTTCCAACGTGAAAGACAAAGGATTTTCCTGAGCACACGCCCAGTCTGTCTGTGTCAGCCAGGGAAGCTGGCCCACCTGGTCAGCGCTGAGCCGGCCAGAAAGAGAGAAGGCGGCGCGGTGGCTGTTTGTGACTGTGAAACCTAGACCGTCCCCCTGTGCACGTCCCTCGCTTCCCAACACTGCGGACCCCCAGCACACTGTGTCCCCCGGAGTGAGGACGAGGGGGGCCGCTGTGCACCCTACCCTCGGCCGAGGGGTCTGGGCGGCCACAGGGCCCGTGGATCTGCTGGGCGGGAGTTCAGCACCGGTAAAGACTTCAGTGAAGCAATAAACAACAGAAGTCTGGGAGAAGACACCCAGAGTTTTGTGCACTACTGTTTCTTTTTCAAAAACAATGCAGATCAGATGCCCGGCCCTGCTCTTCTGTTCTGATTCCTAAACACGAGTCTCCAGTGTTCTCCCTCTGCCCCGTGCCCAGCTCTTTGCCAATTTCTTCTCCTGCGCTGGAGCCTCACCCCGAGATGTGCCCACCACCCCCCCCCCCAAGCCATGCTGGACCCAGACGACCCCACCCACCTCCTCCCCACACTCCCCACCACCCCAGTGTTTCCTGCGGTCTCCATTCCCCCCACGCACCTAGTTTGGCTCTTTTCATTAGTTGAATATTTAACTCCACACAGACGTTGTTTAACCCTCTCACGTGGTCTTTCCTTTCCACGAGTTGTTTCTCATTAACCAACCTCGGCAGCGACAGATGCGAGTCTGAGGGTGTCACGCGCGACCTTCAGCAGAAGGTCCCCGAGGGAAGCCTCGGGGCCCTGGAGAACCATCTAATAACTGGACTTATAAACTGACTGCATGAGCGATGAAAAGGCCAAATTATTCAAAAAGTTTTTTTGAATCACTGTAAAAAAACTGATTTCTTTTGTATAGAGAACACTAAACGTATAATAAAAGTTGTTCAAAATGGACTCGGTCTGGGCGACTTGGTCACTTTCCTTAGTCCCTGAGCAGGAGAGGAGAGTCGGGGGGAACATGATGGAAGGGGCCAGGGGACCTGAGCCCCAGACAGATCCACGCGGGGGATTCTGCACCGTCAGTCCTCATCCTGAAGTTGTTACAGGGCAACCCAGTTGGGTAGCCTGACTCTGGGTCCCTGTGCTTAAGATTCAACTACAGGCGCATACATACAAAAAGGTTAGTGATCGGTTTATTTATAAGGGAAATGAATAACTCAGGGAAAGAGAGATAACGAATGTGTCCTACTAGTTCCGCTGAATTAGAACCCCAATAGCCTGCTGATAACCGGAAGGAGCCAAGAGACAAGCCAGGAGGCCATGAGAGCCCGAAGCCCACATGTCCGGTTTTATCCCAGCCTGGCTGCTCAGCTCCGCCCTCAGGTCCCGGCGTGCTTCTCCTTGGTATTGATGGGATTTGGAGTTCCAGTATCTGAGGGGCTTGGGGGTGGGGTGAGTCCACGAAACCTGTCTCTGTAGAGTTCGTTTAAGACGTCCTTTCCCCTTACAAAGTCTGTCTCCTGGAAACTTGCATGTTAAACAGAAACAGGCATAGAAATGTGTCCTGTGGAGACAGTGTTGTGTGCTCGCGCACCAAGGCCCCGTGCTGGGCCGTGCCTTGCCACAGGACAACCCTGATATAAAGGGGTGGCCTGACTGTGTGTCCTCACCCATGCGCTTAAAAGGCACTTACGGGCCCTCCCTGGTGGCGCAGCGGGTTAAAGCACAGCACTGAGAAGCTTAAGCCACTTGCGCATGAGTTCAATCCCCACCTGCCCTGGAGGTGACCACATGGCGTGGCAGACCTCTCCTGACCCGCCTGCTGCTCCCCTCAGCAGTGTACTTCGTCCATCTGCCTGTTCTGCTCCCCACTCTGTCTCTGGTGAAGCCTCTCGCTGCCCCTAAGCCTCTGGCCTGTACCCCAGTTCTGTATGCACAAATAAATAAATCTTTAAAAAAAAAAAAAGGCACTTAGATGAGACGGCCGCAGGCACATGGAAAGCATAATAAAGGGTTTCGTTGCAAAAGGAGAAATGAAGATGAACAATTCAGCGAGAAAGAAGGGAGGGAGATTGGTGAACGCGTCCTACCAGCTCCACTGAGCTGGGACCCCAATAGCACGCTGAGAGCCGAAGAGCCAAGAGCCCCCAAGGCCTACCTGTCCCGTTATGCGCCAAGCCTGGCTGCTTAGCTCCACCCTCGGTTCCCAGCATCCTCCTTCGGAGGTGGTGACTTTATGGATCTGTCGTCCTTGGTGTCTTGGGTCTCTGTGGTCTGGGGTGGGGGTGGCGTCCCTAAAGCCTGTGTTTGTGGAGTTTGTTCAGGACATCCTTTCCCCCCCAACATTAGACCACTAGCGTCTGCCCTGCAGGGTTCCAGCTCTGACACACCAAATCCCTTGATAGACTTGAAGGAATCGCAACAGTTGAAGGAAAGAACTGGGGGGCTGTGCTGACTCTGGGGAGGGAGCTGCTGCCCCCCTCCTTCCTCATGCCCTGTGGTTGTGCTAATTCCCACAGAGAAGGGGCAAGGAGCATCCCCAAGGTGCGATAAATGATGAGAGACCCCGAGCTTTGAAAGCCCCCTCCTTTTCCTCAGGGTGGTGTCGGAGCTAGAGCATGAGCAGGTCCGGGGGGGTTCTACTCTTGGGGAACAACACCTGAGCTCTGACAGGCAAGAAAGGAAACCAGGGCAAAGGGGTTCTCCTGGAAAAAGAACGACTCCGCAATCTGATCGACCTGTGTTCACTCTCCTTCAGACATAGACCTCCCTTCAGAGCAGATCTCTGACTGAGGGGTTGGCACTTTGAGTAAAATGAGTCACTCTGGCTCGCCCAGAGTGACTGGGTAACTCAGGACATATCACTGAGCACCTCTGAACCGCCCTGGTCACTTTTGTTTTTCCTCACTTGAGTTCACAGACTGTGTCTGAAATCTGCCACTCTTGTTCTTATGCACGATTCCATTAGACCAGCCCAGAATCCACAGTCCTGTGTTGCCTACACCCCCATGAAACTGCAGCCTGAAAGAAAAAGTACAGATCTGGAGTTTGCCTTAGCAGCAAAGTTGAAACAGTACAAAGAAGGGAAAAACACAAATCTGATCATGTCACTCCTTAACCTGAAAGCTTCAAGTTTCCTACAATCTCTCACTATAAGATTAAATCTGAACTCCTTGACTTAGCATGGTAGTCCTTTCATGATCTGACCTTTACCTCTTCTCCAGCTTCCTTGTTCACCATTCCTCACACATACCCTAAATTCTAGCCATTCCACACTAATTCCAGAGTGCCTTGATAGATAATGCTTTCTCCCACTTGTCAGTTTTGGTAATTTGATGACCCAACAACACATATTAATAACCTAAACTTGCTCTGTGCAAGTTGATGTAAGATAGGCATGTTCGGACAGTCTTGGGGGACAGTCAAATAAACAAAGGCAATGTTACAGTGCCGTGGGCAATAAATGTGGGTTCAACAAGCAAATTATGGCCCAAAGGTGAGTCTGCTTGGAGCACTCCCTCCCCAGCTCCTATTGCCAGTCTTCTGCTGACAATTCACAATCACTGGAGCTGATGCTCACAGCCAGGCCTGTAACACCTGCTTCCAAGTGCTTTCCTATTTCTCATCCAGAACCTAGCTTCTAACTCATTTCTCCCTTCAGACCATCCCGCCCGGCTCCTTGAAGGCACGGGTGGGCTCCATGCCAAGTCACACATCTTCAACAATTAGCTCAGGTGACATCGTCTTGGAACGTCTTCCCTGATTCTTGATGCTGCTTGAACACATGTGTACAATGCACCCACACGTACACACAGAGACCCTGTTCATTTGGGTCCCTTTCTTATGCCCCCAGAACTCCTATTTCATATCTCTCATGGGGGTTTGGCACATGACATTTATTGCCCATTTCTCTCACTAAATTGTGGCTCTCCTGAGGATAAGAGACCATTTTTTTCATCTGTATCCACAGGTCAGTGGCTGACACATAGCAAGGACAGAATCAGAATGAACGAGTGTGGATGATTGAATGAATGAATGAGACAACCTTTGAAAGAAATACAGATGAAGTCCAGACTTTCTTGTCATCTGCTTGGCCATTGGGTATTTGGCTACTGGAGTTAGAGATGACATTTTGGCAGTGAGGGTTGTCCTTTACCCCAGCTTTTTTTTTTTTAATGCCCTAAATTTTTTTAATAAATCTCTCTATCCCAGTTTTACAGCGAGAGCCCCCACTCCAAGGACAGAGTAGAGAGAGAAAGCAAGCTTCTTATTTGAAGAAAAACAACCTCGATTCAA